GCGACATCCTTCGCGGACCCCAGGGGGACATCCCCTCCCTGGGCGCTGCCAGCTGCGCAGATGTCGCCATTTTCGTGCTCATGTCAGGAGGGAAAGGAACACACAGGCACAATTCATCGTCGACTTCCAGGAAAAGATGGGAAAACATGGGAAGTGGGGGGGAAGACAGGAACCCGGAAAATATTGGAAAATATGGGAATCCTGTTATTTGTGTAGATTTATCTGTGTGTCCTTGGGCTCCTTTGTCTTGGAAGGTCCAGCGGTGTGGCGTGCTACGCTAATCCTAACCAGTCCTTCTCTCCCTGGGCGCCGCCAGATGGCGCGACTCGTGAGCTGTGAAGGACCCAAACAGGACCTTCTCTCTCTCTCTGGGCGCTGCGCAGCTGTCGCCACGCTCGTGAGCTCCTGGGAGGTCCAGCGGAGGGACGCCGGCAACCTCTCTTCCTCGGGCGTCCCGTCGTGCTCGCAGATGCTCATGCGTGGCGCCTAATGCATAGGTTCCCCGTGCAGCTCGCAGAAGGGGTCCACGCTCCCTCCTCGGGAGTCCTCGCCCGCATTCTGGGTGACCCCGCTGAGGCTGCCGTTGCTGCAGATGGGGTGGGCGCGCCCCTGCGTACACCGTCCAGCGCTCGGGCCTTCGCCCCGCCAGCGCGCCCTTCCCCTTCTCCGAGGGTGAGGACGAGGGGGATCGGGAGGAGGATTAGATTAGATTAGACAGCGCCTTAGGAAAGGTCGGAAGGTGAACGCACCAAAGACTGGCAATGTTACAAAAAATTATGCCATCGATTGAGAACTGGCTTCTTTGGCCTTGACTCGAGCAAGTAAGGCAGCCATTCTCTGCTCATACTGTGGGGCCTCTTCACTGGAGGAAAAACCTCTGGGGACGGACGACACAGACTGCACCTCTTTCGGGCTTGCGAGAGTCGCATCAAGTCGAGATACGGGGATGGCCTTATCCAAACGTTCCCTCAACCTTGGGTTAGGCCCTAGCCCCCGACGAAACGCGCTCAAAACCTCGAGGCCCTTAAACGTGGGTGCAGCACAAGTCTTAGCAAGTTTGATCATCCTTCCCTGAGTCCAGCCACCACAGTTGAGACACAGAAATTGTTGCTCCTTAATTTCGGTGCGTCCAGAACCCGAGACAGGACCCGAGGAAGCACCAGAAGCAGTTTGAAGAGCCGTTCCCGACACAGCAACGAGAGAATGGCCCATGGGATTCGCGAGCAACTTAGCTATAGCCGTGGGCGTGCCCTGACATCCATCAGCGGGGCGATCACCAGACGAGCTGACTATCAGGCAGTGAACACACTGAATTCCAAGCTCAGTCCGACGCCATTCGTGCCAACTACGCTTGGCTCGTGACCGCTGCTGACTCTGCGGGGCACGTCTCCACCTCAACTCATTCCGAAAAAGCGGGAGGCAGGCACTGGCAAGCTTCACAAAAATCCCAGCTCTCCTCTCAGCCTCCTCAACAGAATGCAAGAAGGCAGGGGTGGGGGTGGGATGGGAGGCCAGGGCCAACTTCGCATGGTTGTCCACAATCTTATTGGCCTGGCCGAAACGATATTCATCACCTGCAAGCTGGTTCAACTCTTCATCAGAGCGGTGGGCCTTCACATGAAAAGCCTCCAAAAACTTGGAACCATCAAGCTCAAAAGCGAATTTTCGGATGCCAGAAAACTTATTCTGAGCCTCTAACTGTTTGGCCACAGGTCTCTGAATGTGCTGGATCACCCCAAGACAATCGAGACCGAGCCGAGTCGGGCGATCAGCGACCTGGCCACACAACGCAGCAGCAACATGCTCCGCAGCAGCTGGGCTCTGGGGGAGGGTGCCTGGAACAACGCCTCGTAGCACAGCCTCCATGTCTGTCGTATTCGGCGAGAGCAAAGCAATCGACCATGCCGCGCGTCGGAGCGGCCTAAGCATCTGCTTGGTGGCCGAGCCGTCGGCCGCGAGTTCAAGCGGCTGTCCTGGCGGTACGAGGGCAGCTAGTTCCTCGGGCTGACGGTCGAGCTCGTTACCCTGGCCATCGAAAATCTCACAGGCCGAGCTGAGGGAGGGAGGAACAAGCTGGGAGTCATCATAGACAAAGATGCCTCGAGTGTGCAGACAATCATCGGTCTGAAGGGCAACCTGCAACGACTCATTGGGGATATCTTCGCATGCAATCTCACGGGCAGCCAGCACATCTGGTCTAGTGCATGTGTAGATGCGATGATGCGGGGTATCAACCTGCCCACACTCACAACGACCACAACTAAGATACCCCGCATCTTGGGCCCTCTTCTCGGTCCAATTGGCATCACACGCTGCACACTTTAACAAAAACTGCTGCTGTCGAGTAAAACTTTTCACGCGGGGAACCATCTTGTCCCTGACCAGGTCCAGAGTGGCCCTAAAACCAGGAGGGAAACCGAGTTTTTGGCCCAAGGCCAGCTCAGCCTGCCTCTGGAGGCCTGCTTCCAGCAACTCCTGCAGCATTCGAGGTGACACTAAACTGATATCGATGGGATTCTGATGGTGATCAATCCAAGCACACGCCTCGGGAGCCGACCAACCTGCCCTCTTGAGACACAAGACAACTCTACTGAGCGGGCCTCGACTATTCTTCCAGTCACCGACGCTGCTCGCATTAGCCTGTTGCCACAACGACACGAGGGCAGGTAAACTTAAAAGGGCTCTCTCGGGCGCTACCTTGGAGATCCAAACCATCCTACTCCATTGCAAGACGGGGCCCAAAGCAGCACGGACGTCCCATTCTCCAAAGAGGACCAATTTAGCACTCGCTGAAGTGCCACCGTGCATGGGCGCCTGTCGCCTCGCCTGGGTTCTGCGTATTGACGCCAATTCAGCATCCGAAAACCCCAAGACCTCATAACCATACGACGACGCAGGAGCCAGGCCAGTACGCAGGACCCCCTGGAGGACTTGTTTTGGCTTGCGTTTAATAAACTTGCTAAACTTACTGATCTTTTTGGCACGCTTATGCATATCCTTCAACCTACTCCTAAGTTTGGGTCTCGTGCCTTTCGCAGCACGTCGCAAACCAGCGGCCGAATCGACTCCGAGATAAGTGACTGCCTTTCTTACAACTTTGCATTGCATCTGGAGACTTGCTGCTACATCTTTAGCCAAGTCCTCCGATGACGCAACTACAGCAATCTTATCATTCAGTGTTGCACCAATTTTACGACTGGCAATCTGGAAATCTTTTCCCGCCGCCACCGTTAGATCCAGAGCTCGCTGCCTGTCTGCAGCAGAGATCTGAATGGCTGAGTCATCAATGTACGACATGAAACTTACGAGCGATGGCTGACGAGAAACAAACCAGTCGAATTCACGAACCGCGTGTATTTTTATGCACAAGTCATTGAAGCAATCACCTGCTGGAAGACCGAACTGTGCACGCATGCAATCAAGAGAGTGATGCTGGCGAAGCCTCAATATTCTTGGGGCTTGCCAAACATTAAAAACTAACTTTAGCACAGGAGACGGCACTCGAAACGCTATGCATTTATCACGCAACTGAATGAGATCAATCGTCTCATAATATTTACTGTAGTCGGCAACAACAAGAACCGAAAAACGATGGCTGACCACATCGGCTTCGCTCCTGGCCGCTAACACCCAAGCACAATCCACAGCGCTCCTCCCCCGAGTAGCCCCCCAGTACCCGCGGTCCAAAGAACCCAAAACATCATTGAGCATGGGGCGGCGGAGCCTTTGCCAAATGCGATACATGCCAGAGTACAGTACGATTAGCCTGTAACCGCTGGTCGGTTTCGGCAGCATTGGCATTAAAACCCAGAGCAATTGTCGGGGCAGGAGACCTATCGCTTCGCAGCACTGCCAAAGTTTTGCAAGCACCGTGAGGCCTCGATCATCTAGCAGCTGAAAATGCCGAGGGTGCAGTTGATCGAGAGCTCTTGCTGTACTCTCAGGAAAGGACCGAATCGCTTTACGTATGTCCTCAACGCTCGCAACTGGAAAAGACTCTCTATCAGGTATCCATGCCTGAGGGGGAATCGCTCCAGCTTTCCAGAGCGCCTTATACATACGAGCTTCATGCTGCACAACGCTATGGGGGTCAGCCGTGGGGCCTAAAGGATCATGGACGACCGTGGGGGGACACGCACTCCGAACCTTGGTGATCCTATGTAGGCCCCTGGCTCCCCCTAAAGACGCAGTTTCACACCAATCATTCCAATCTGCATCGGCTTCGCGATTAGCAGTTCTCTGGGCAGCTTCAACATCTTCAGTAATCTGCTCAAGAAACTCAAGAACAGCATCCTTATCAAGTTGCCCATCATGAAACAACTCACGTGCATGCTTACATGAGTTGTCTAGCCTAGCGCTGAGACCAAAGCCTGGATAGTCGTCAGCAGCAAAGGCGGCAACCTCATTAGCATATAGGACCTGCTGCTCGACATCCTCGTCGTGAGACGACATCTGGAGAAGGGTCTGCACAGCATTACGCAACCAAGACCACCCCTCAGCGAGCAGAACCTTCTCCGAGATGTTGGGGACTGGGTAGTCCACGCTAACCCACCTCGGTGCTATATCTCTACCGAAGCCTGCAAAGTTCATGGCATCTGTGCCCGTGCACTCAGCTACGTACCTGGCAGTTCTTTTGGCGAAATGGCCCCAGGCAGCACTTAAAACTCCAAAAACCACCCCAGGATCAGCCTGCTCGTCATGAGCCAACTCCGAACAATGATCGACGAGACCCTCGACGAACGACCAACTAGGGGGAGCAGGCTGAGGTCCAATGGGGGCCGTGACAGGAAGCTTGGGTGCGGCGGTGTATACCAGATGCTGGATACCGTGCCCGTCACTCGCAAGCTCCAAGATTACTGGTCGATGTGGACGCACTGTCCACTTCTTGTCAACGCTTACTGCCTTAAACGCTCGCATGCACGGATCATTGAGTCCGAAAAAATCGATGACAGAAGATCCCGTCCCACCTCTACACGTGTAGTTCGATGGAGAGACGAGGGTAGCACTGGCAAGTGCACTGAAGCCGCAAGCTTCAACAGCACTAGGTGTCATGTTCCAATCCCCCCCGACTAAACAAGGACCCTCCACCCCACTGAAATGCTTGCCAACTGCAGCTAAATACTTGGCATTCAGAGTGGTCGCGCCGATACTCGGCACTAGGTAGAGGTTGATGGCATGCAACGGCGGCCATCCTGGCAGGTCCAGTACCACATGAAGCACACGATGCTGAACCACCTGTTCATGGTGTCCAGGGGGAACACGAACTCCACATTGACTGCGAACGAAGATGGCGACTCCAGCTGTCGGTAGGACTCCAGCGGAGGGAAGAGCAGGCAGTGCCAACATCTGCCATCCTCGTCCACTGATCCACGTCTGCAGCGACTCGAGCTCGCTCTCCAGGTCGCCCGTCTCCTGTACCATGACAACCATAGCACAAGAACGCTGAAGTCGCTTTTTCAGTGTCCGTTTACCACCATTGGCATTGAATGACTCCAACCTGTGAGACGGCGCCATCAGCATAGCGGGGGCTGCAGGAACCACATTCTTCGGTCGCAAACCAGTCACACGTGGTATCATCCTGCCCAGCTTCTTGTGACGGTCCATGCAAGGGTCTGCAGGGACCGACTCTGCCGAGGCATCATTGGGGCTAGGAGCTGCACTTTTGCCTCTTGACCTGCATCCCGGTGATCTTCGCCTGGAAGTCTTCGAAGTTGTCTGCGCCCCAGAGCTCCTGCAAACTGTTGTCATCGAGCTCTGAGTAGTTGCGCTTGTCGGCGGCGGTGTCACCAGTGGGAGCTGCAGGCATCTCGGCGTCAGGGGGGCTCGCATCCGCAGCACCTCCAGAAGCGCTTGCAGCTGGAGCCCCAACACTGCCATCAGCAGGGCCAACCACACGAATATTCTTCTGGATCTCCTCCCACGCTGCGCTCTTGAAGAAGGCCTCGACACCCTCGTACTTGGAGTACATCTGGTCGAGGTTGTCGATCTCAATCTTGATGCCTGCTGAGGGTACCTTCGCCTCACCAGACTCGGCAGCCAGTAGAGCAGATGTACGAGCAACTTCGTTAACCAACTCTGCCACTTCAACACGCTTGGTCTCGAGCTTCGTCTTTCGCTCCTCAATCGATAGACGCAACTCTTCAAACTGCTTTTCTTTCTCTTCCAACTCTTTTGCTTGTCTGGCCACCGCTTGTCGTGCACGCTGCAACTCATTGGTGGCCCTCCGATGCGCCGTGGTTGGATTCCGCAGCTCTTTGATATTACCACGTAGTACTTCCAACTTTGCCTTGATACTTGATCGCAACTCATCAAACTCATCGCCTGAAGGGACCTTTTTGAGCGATTCCTCCAACCCATTAGCCTGCACAACCAACCGACCTCTCTTCGCATCGTCGGACCCAGGGTCAGCCTGTTGCGCAGCTTCAGCAGCTTCACGATCACGAGAAACTTGATCTTTGTACCAAGGTGCTCGCTTAGATTTACCCTCAGGCTTGTCAGACTTATCAGGCAATTCTCCTCGTCCAAGCGCTTTGACCAACTCATCCAGTTGCGCCTGTACACGTAGGAGCCCACCCGATTCATCTTTGCCTTGACCTTTTCCTTTACCACGCCCACCTCCACTTCCCGACTCGGGCTTGGCGGCGAGCTGCTTCTTGTTCGCCTCTTGGGCGCGACTGCGGATATGGGCGGGCGCCATGTTGCCACATCTGCAGCGAATACGGCTGGCCCAGTTGTGAGCAGCTCCGCACCGCCCACAAGCCCACTCAGGACGACGAGGACCCAGTAGGACGTCATCGTCATTGGCCATGGAGCGCCCCCGCGGGAGCAGAAGGGGGCTGCCAGCAGCTGCTGCCTGCTGGCGGGGCCTCCCGCGGGAGCTGAAGGCCAGCAGCGGGTGCCTGCTGGCAAGACTCGAACAACAAGGCCCGCGAACGCGGTGCCGCGCTGAGTTCTCGCGTTCGCAACCCCCTGAATCTCTCGAGGGGGCAGCACGGCTTGATCGGGAGGAGGAGGAGGAGGAGGAGGAGGAGGAGGAAGAGAAGGAGGAAGCCAGGCAGGGACGGCGAGGAAGACACGGAGGACGATGAGGAGAAGGGAGGAAGGACGAGGAGGATGTCGAGGAGGCCGTCCCTCTCTCCTCCACTCTCCCCCTCTTCCTCCCCGTCCTGCGCCTCCCACCCTGTCACTTCGTCCTCGCCTCCACCCGCCTACCGAACGTTCCCCTTCCTGCTTATCGCCCTTCTCTCCTCCCGCTTCTCCCTTGCAGTCCCCCTCCCATGCTCTCCTTTCAATCCCCTTTTCCTTTTGCCCTGTCCCCATCCTTTTCCCCTCCCATCCCCTCGCTTTCCCTCCCCCCCGCCCTCGGCTCCCCGTCCGACCATCATACTCTTAGTGTTGCCTTGACATCAAGCCCGATCCGACCGAGCCAGATCCTGCCCTGGCTACCTTCATGGTCACGCACGCGCGCGAGCGCACACGCTACGCGTCAAAGCACACCAAAGCGGGCCTCGCGCGTGCTCCTGACGGGCACCGTCCGCGTCAGATCACACGATGCGGTGCATGCGCGTCGGTCTTACGAGTGCGACTTGGACGACTCACCTCGTCCATACCAGGCTGACTACGCGCCCAGTTGCCAACATCACCTGCCAGCTGAAGTATCATTCGTTTCCAGATCGCAGCACTGCTCGCCGCTCGGTCATCACCGCCAGCCCAATCGGCGAGCACAAAGCGGGTGCGGTTCAGCAGAACCTGCCATGCGCCACCCATGCGGCGCGCCATGAGTTGGGTGATCTATGTGTGGCGCCAACTGTCTGCGTCATCCATGTGTTGCGCCATGGATCGCGCCACAGGCTGGGTTGTGCCATAGGTCGGGTTGCGACGTGCACAGGTTGTGCATTGGTTGTGCAGCCCATGGGTTGCGCCATGGGTTGCGCCATCACCCTCCCTTTTTCCGCTCCTTGCCTCGCTTCCTTCCTCGCTGCATCCCTGCCCTCTGCCGCCGCTGCCGCCACGGCTGCTGCTGCTGATGCTGATGTTGCGGCTGCGGTGGGGTGGGGCGCCGCGGGCACGCCTTGGACCCTCTCCCGAAGGTGCGATGCTCGCTGCTGAGCATCAACAAGCTCGTTATCGGACCGCCCGCGTTTATTCGCCTCCTCCTCCTCCTCCTCCTCCTCCTCCTCCTCCTCCACCTCGCTGCTGAGCATCAACAAGCTCGTTATCGGACCGCCCGCGTTTCTTCGCCTCGCCCCCGGAGGAGGGCTGCCTCGGGCGGGCGGCGCGACAAGTGTCCGCGCATGCTCTACGCAGGGAGTAACAAACGGCTACCGGCCTCCTCCTCCTCCTCCTCCTCCTCCTCCTCCTCCTCCTCCTCCTCCTCCTCCTCCTTCCTCCCCCCTCACTCCTCCGCCTCCTCCTCCTCCTCCTCCTCCTCCTCCTCCTCCTCCTCCCTCCTCCTCTCCTCCTCCTCCTCCTCCCCCTCCCCCTCCCCCTCCACAATTACTCAATATGAAAATACTCTCCCTCTTCCCCTGATGGCGTCCGGGTGATGGCCGCGCACCCTCCGCGTACTGTTTTTTTACACACAGGATGCCCGGGAAATCCCGGGAAACGACTCTCGCTGAGGCGCCGGCGTCATTTTTTCCCAAAATGCTGCTCTCGTTGAGGCGCCGGCCTCATTTCTGCTCCCGAATCGTTCCGAATCGTGCTCCCGCTGCAGCGTGGGCCTCATTTTCGGATCGGTGTTTGGCCTCCGTCGTTCAGGATGGCGTTCTCGCCCCAGCGCGGGCCTTTTTCTCGCGCGCCCATCCGCCCGCCACCACCGCGCCGCACCGCCACCACCACCACCACCACCACCACCACCACCACCACCACCACCACCACCACCACCACCACCACCACAACCACCACCAGCAGCACCAGCACCACCACACACCACCACCACAACCAGCATCACCACCACCACCACCACCACCACCACCATACCGACCACCACCACCACCACCACCACCACCACCACCACCACCACCACCACCACCACCACCACCACCACCACCACCACCACCACCACCACCACCACCACCACCACCACAACCACAACCACGCGCACACACGCACGCACGCACGCACGCGCACCACCACCCACTACGCACGCGCGCGCGGAGCCACAGGTCCGCTACGACACGCGTCCGCGGATAGAGAAAATCAGCGCCATGGTAAGGGATGGGAGGGAGGGGTAGGACGTCAGTAGGACGTCAGATATGACGCGAGCGCACCTAGCTTGCCCGTTCCCCTTTCCCCCTCCCCATCCTCATCCTGGTCCTCCTGATCTTCCTGCTGCTGCTTCTCCTCTTCCTGCTCCTCCTCCTCCTCCTCCTCCTCCTCCTCCCCCCCCCCTCCTGCTCCTCGCTCCTCCTCCTCCTCCTCCTCCTCCTCTCCTCCTCCTCCTCCCCCCCCCCCCCCCCGCCTCTCCATCCTCCTCCCCCCTGCCCATTGTCCCTCCCTGCTACTTCGTTCTCCTCCTCCTCGTCCTCCTCCTGCTCCTCCTCCTCTCTTCCTCCTCCTCTTCCTCCTCCTCCTCCCCCTCCTCGTCCTCGTCGTCGGTCGTTCTCTCCTCTATACTCTCCTCTCATCCTCCTCCACCACACTTCCTCCCCCCTCCCCCTCACCCCCCTCTCCTCCTCCTCCTCCCTGTTCCTCCTCCTCCTTCTCCCCCCCCTCGTCCTCGTCCTCCTCCTCCTGCTCCTCCTGCTCCTTGCGTTCCTGCTCGTCCTTCCTCCTCCTCGCCCTCCTCCTCTTCCACCTCCCTCCCCCCTCGCCGCCTCCTCCTATGTACGTGCGCATGCATGTACGTATGCATGTATGCATGCATGTGCGTATGTGCGCACGCGGGCATACATGTATGCACGCATGCATACGTACACGTACGTGTGTGCATGTATGCATGAATGCATGTGTCCAGCAATGAGCGCTTGCATACATGATGCGTGTACGTTTGCACATATGCGCTGAATGTCAGTATGTATGCGCCGTTACATGTATGTATGTATGCACGAATGCATGTATGCATGCGCGTGTGTATGCGTGCAGGTATCACTCGCGTATTTGCATGTGTGCATGTGCGTATGCATGTGTGTATGTTTGTTACACGTGTGCATGTGCGCGTGTGTAAATGTATGTATCCGTGCACGCATGTGTGCCTGCATGCATGCAAGTACTTATGCATTAATGTATGCATTCTTACGTGTACGCATGCGTGCATGTATGCATGCGCGTGTCCCTCTCGTTCCTTCTCTTTCCCTTCGCGTTCCTGCCTGTTCTCCTCGCCCTACCCTTCCTCCCTCGCTCCTCCTGGTCTCCAACTGCTGCCTGTTGCGACCGCGGGCAGTGCGGCATGCAGCCTTGAAGTCGAGCAACATCTGGTAGGCGTCGCTGTGGTTCAGGATCTGCGGCTGCGACGCGTTCGACTGCATTGAGGCCGTGAGAATGATCGCCGCGCAGTGGACCATCGTGCCTTCGGTTGGGCTGGTAAGCCCAAGCTTCTCAAGCTTGAATGCCACGCAGTGCAACTTGCGGTGGTACGTCTCCTCGGCCGCCTTCAACAGCGACCACTCCGCTTCCGTGAAGTAGTGGTGCAACGCACCGCCGTCCTGCCCCCCGGCCCCCAGCTGGCCCGGACGAGGCGCCTGGTGCTGCGGGATGGCGGTGATCAGGTCGCGGCGCTGCTCCGTCGAGAAGGGGCTGCCTTGCAAAGCGATGATCGCGTCTGGCACCTCGTCCTGGGTCAGCGCGCGCGCCTTGCGCCAGCTCGCCGACCAGGACCCTGCGGTGAGAGAGGATGAGCTGGTCCATCTGGTCGTAGCCGGCGGCGCGCGCAGTAGCAATGATCGTCGTCGACTGCTGCAACTCCGCCATCCACGACGAGGCCACGCCGCGGAATGTTCTCTGCTGGACGACTTCGGAATCCTACCTCAAAAGGCGCGGGGCGAGCCCTCTTACTTGCGCTCGCAGATTGCAGCGGAGGCCGAGGGGGATCGGGGGGCGCCGACGACGATCGAAGTCGAAAGGCCCCTCCTCCCCCTACTCCTGCGCGCCCGTTGCCACGGTTCCTCCCGAACCTCCTCTTCCTGCTCCTCCCTCCTCGCCCTCTTCGTCCTCTTCGTCCTCCTTCTCCCCCTCCTTCTCCTCATTTTCCTTCTCCTCCTCTTCTTCCCTCCTTTTCCTTCTCCTCCTTCTCCTTCTCCTCCTCCTCCTTCTCCTCCTTCTCCTCCTTTTCTTCGTCCTCCTCCTCCTCCTTCTCCTCCTTTTCCTTCTCCTCCTCCTCCTCTTCCCTCGGGCTCTCCCCCTCCTGTTTTTCCTTGTGCGTCCGTTGCCATGGGCAGGGCTAGCCCAGCCATGGCGCGCGCGTGCTGCGCCTCCTTGCCCTCCTCTCTCCTCCTCCCCCCCCCCCCACTCCTCCCCCCGTCCACCTCCTCCTGATCCTCTGTCTCCTCGTCGTAGAACTCCTCCTCCTTGTCGTCCTCGTCCTCCGCCTCCTCTTCCTGCTCCTCCCTCTCCCCCATCCCCCACTTCCCCCCCCCCCCGCAGCTGCGGGGCTAGCCCTTGAGCCACGGGGGGGGGTGGGGGGAAGGCGGCCCCGCAGTTTTACCGCGAGCCCAGCGGAGCAATTCGCCTGCAAAAAGGAAAAGGAAGATGAGGGGCAGGAGGAGGAGGAGCGCCAGGAGGAGGGAAGGGGGGAGAGGAGGAGCAGGGGCACGCAGGAGCAGCGGCAGCAGCCGTTGCGGGGCGAGGGGGCTACAGGAGAGGCAAGAGCGACACTAGCTGTCGCTGCCCCGCCTGCGTTTGCGCCCCGTTGGCCGGGCGCCCCGGTTCGCGTCTAACCGCCTCCCTGGGCCCTTCAGCGACGCGGGGATCTTCAGCGCGCACTCTGGCACGTCGCCGCGCGACCGCATGGTCTGCGGGGGCCAGGAACCGAACCACTCACCTGCCATTGCCTGGACCATGGAGCGCACGTTGGCCAAGATCAGGGATGGCGGGAATGCATTGCCTGACGCCGTCACCTGGAGTGCCTCTGGGAGGGCATCCGCCATCGCGGCAGGGAACCCTTGCGCCATCCAGCGCTCGACGTGACGAGGCCGACGAAAGAACTCTCGCTCGGGGTCCGGCAAGCGTTGGACTGCCCCCCGAACGCACATGATCCATAGGTAGCAATTCCTACAAGTCAGGGTGGGAAAAGAGTTCACCGTGAAGTAGGACAGCGGGTTGCGCCCCCCCTGCGAAGCACGGTCCACTGAGCAGACGGCCGCGTCGTTGATGTCCAAATAAGCGTCTGCGTGCAAACGATGGATGATATCCTCGTAGTCAAGTGCGTTCTGCTGTTGAGCAGCAGTGAGCGAAGCCCTGTCGTCTGCCGGGTACCTCCCGAGCACGGAGCGGATGTGGACATCGCCAAACGATGGCAACACGGGAGGGGTGGTCGCTGCCACCTCCCGGCGGAAACCACGAAGAAAAACGCGCCTGCGCGTCTGGGGACACGCGTAATTGCTGGCGCTCAGCTCCACGACCTTGGCGGTGGAGGTCGGGGGGGGGGCGGAGGAGGCCAGGGGGGGGAGGTGGAGGTGGAGGAGGAGGTGGAGGAGGCGAAGGGGGAGAAGGTGGAGGTGGAGGGGGCCGGGGGGAGGAGGTTGCCTCCCAGTTGAACTCGGAGGCACGCGCTTTCATCTTGCGCAGGATCCTCGCCATGGCCGGCTCGCGACCCTCGACGCTCTGGTTGATGCCCCGCACGTTCTCCAGTATTGCGCCAAGTAGCCCTCCGCATTTGATCGGGTACACTACCCATTGCAGGACGCGCGCGAAGACTCGCCCCCTAGGGTCTTGGAATCCGCCCTTCGACCCGGCAGACGCGAAACTGGGGCAAGGGGGCCCCGATATCAATAGGTCCACAGGGGCGGCCAAAGAGTGGAAGGGGACCCGCATGATGTCTCCGTCCTTCGGCCCCACCTGTTGGAGGCGGCCCAGCAAGTAGTCGCGATATCCGTCGATCAGATCGTACACGTTGACGGCTTCAGACTGCGCGCCCATCATGGAGAGGGCGTGCCCCGCGTCCATGATGGGAGGCGTTTTATTCCTCACTTACAGCCGGCGATACATCGGCGATCTATCGGCGATGCATCGGCGATGCGTCGACGATGCATCGGCGATGCAGCTGCGATGCATCAGCGACGTCGGCGATGCATCGGCGACGTCCGCGTGAAAGAAATCGGGCTCCGCATCGAGCCGCATCGGCGCTGCGTCGGCGATGCGGTGCGATCGTCCGACCCCATCTGCTCCGACCACATCTAGGAGGCCTAGATCCTTGCTCTCCTGCAGGTCCTGGCTCTCCTGCAGGCTCTCCTGCAGGCTCTCCTTGCTCTCCTGCTGCTCTCTCCTGCATGTTCTCCTGGCTCTCCTTGCTCTCCTGCGGGCTCTCCTTGCTCTCCTGCAGGCTCTCCTTTCGCACAGGTTCTGCAGGCTCTCCTGCAGGTTCCCCTGCGGAGGAGGAGGAGGAGGAGGAGGGGGGGGAGGAGCGGCAGGGGTCGAGGATCGAGGATCGCGGCAAGGTGGAGGGTCGAGGGTCGGCCCGAGGATCGAGGATCGGACCGAGGATCGAGGATCGGACCGAGGATCGAGGACGGAGGAGGAGGCGGAGGATCGCGGCAAGGTGGAGGGTCGAGGATCCTCCTCTTCCTCCTCCTCTTCCTCCTCCTCCTCCTGTTCCTCCTCCTCCTCTCCTCCTCCTCATCCTCCTCCTCCTCCTCCTCCTCATCCTCCTCCTCCTCCTCCTCCTCATCCTCATCCTCGTCCTCATCCTCATCCTTCTTCTTTTTTGTTCGGTACCGGCCCATGCGTCTATTTTCGGGCGTGCCGGCCCGCGCGAACATCCTCATCCTCCTCCTCCTCCTCCTCCTTCTCGCCGCGCGCCCTAGCTCCGATCGTCTCAGAGCGTCCGCGACCAGCGTCGTGAGCTCCAGGAGGCGCTCTGGGCTGAATCCCTCCGCCCCCGCCTGGGCGCTCGGCACGAGACCCTGGCGGGGCGCGGCGGCGAAAGGAGGGCAACCCCTCCTCCACCCCCCTCTCTCCTCTCTCATGCTCCTCGCCCACTGGCCAAAAATGGCATCAGGACAGCTTCGAGAAGGCTCCAAGATGCCTTCGAGATGGCCCGAGATTCGATTCGAGGCCCAGGCCCGCCGGGGGGAGAGGGATGCCCATCGAGAGGCGTTCTCCTCGCAGCCCGTTGGCGTTGATGGCGTCCCTGGACATCTGGTAGGCCCTCTCGATCTCGTGGATCGGCCCCTTCCAGGAAATCTCAGAAACCGATGCCTCCTCTCCCTCCTCCTCCTTCTCCTCCTCCTCCTCCTCCTCCTCCTCCTCCTCCTCCTCCTCCTCCTCCGCCCCCTCCTCCGTCCTCCTCCGTCCTCCCCCTCCCCCTCCTCCTCATCCTCCCCCCCCCTCCTCCCTCCTTTTCCTCCTCCTCCTCCTCCTCCTCCTCCTGGAGACATTTTAATTCCTTGTCCCCCCGCACGTGTGTGGCTCCTAAACACATCCTCCTCCACTTCTCCCTCCTCCTCCCTCCGCCCCCACCTCTTCCTCCTCCTCCTACTCCTTCCCCCCCTTCTCCTCTCCTCCCTCCTCCTCCTCCTCCTCCCCCTCCTCCTCCTCCTCCTCCTCCTCCTCCTCCTTCCGACCTTCAGGGTGAACGCGCGCTGGCCTCCGTCTCGCCCTCGAACCTGCGCCGCGCACCCAGTGTCCTAGATATAAGGTGGGAGGAGGAGGAGAAGGAGGAGGAGAAGGAGGAGGAGAAGGAGGAGGATAGGTGCATCCTCCTTGATGCGCTTTTTGTCGGCAGCTGTCAGGGTGCCGCGGACGGGGATGGGCCCGACGTGGAACGTCAGGGGGGCCTGGCGAGGAGGAGGAGGAGGAGGAGGAGGAGGAGGAGGAGGAGGGGGAGGAGAAGAAGAAGGGCGCGCGGCAGGGGAGAGGAAAGGAGAACCTCTGCCGCGGAAGCCGGCAGAGGGCCAGGGAACGGCGAGGAGGCGGCCATGCGCGCCCGGCGGCCCCCCCGCGCGCGCTCGCGCGCCGCGCCCGCGCCCGGCGCCCCCGCTCGTCGGAGATGGAAGGGGGGGGGGGGGGGGCATGCCATTCTGTCGCGTCTCCGACGTGCGGCGGTGGCAGCGAGGGGACCTCGGCCCTTCGTATCTGGGCCCCCTAGAGCCCATGGGGCCCCGGCCCCCCTGGATCTGGCCCCCTTGGGATCTCGGCCCCTCGGGATCTGTGGGCCCACTGGAGCCCCCCCCCATCACCAGGAATTACTCCAAGGAATCCCCACGTGAAAAACCCAAAATGAATACGTGCCACTATCAAATGATGACTGCTCCTGCTGACGCTGCTGCTGCTCCTCCTCCACCTCCTCCTCCTCTCTCGTCCTCCCTCCCCTCTCTCTCTCTCCTCCCTACTCGTCCTGCGCCTCCTTCCCCCCCATCCCCCCCCTCCTCCTCCTCTTCCTCTTCTCCCACTCCTCCCCCCATTCCTCCTCCCGAGACGTTGATGATGATGATGATGATGATGATGATGATGGTGATGGTGATGGTGAT